GTGCTGGGAGGACACTGAGACCTCCATGCGGGCCCGGCCTGGTCGCCGCAGCCACCATGTAAACAGCCTCACCGCACACGCTCACAGCCACGAAAGCTCCACAGCCTTTCTTAAGACTCTGCCTAACCCGCCCCCCGCAGCCGTGACCCCCATGACCCTGGTCCCTGTGGCCCTCCCTGGTGTCACTGCACCCTCGGAGAGGAGCGGCCGGCCTCCGGGTCCCTCTGTGGACACAGGAAGGGCAGAGAGAGGCCACAGCCAGGGCCTTGGTCGGGCAGTCGGTGGACGGAAACGCTCCCACTCTGGTGATCTGTGTCCTGTGCACAGATCCAGCACCCTCGGTGACTTGTGGGAAACAGACGCCCGGGGCGGGGGGGAGGGGGGCGGACTCACTCCTCTTGGGCCTTCAGCTCCCGAGTCACCATCCCTGCAGGAGACACCTCCTGGGCCGGGCCAAGCCCTGTCCCCTTCCACAGCCCCCTCCTCGGTCCCTTCGTGCACAGACAGCAGTGTCACCTCCGTCTCCCCGGGATACGCCCAGGACGTTTACAACATGGATCATTAGGGCGGACCGGCCAGGAGGTGCCCGTGCAGGACACATGCCAACCGCCCGCATGAGTCAGGCCCGAGCCACACCAACAGGAATGACGGAGGGGGGGCAGGGGGGTTACTGACAGGGACACTGGGGCCACCGCTGCCCCGGGGAGGGGACGCTGACGCCTCCAAGAGCCCATGCGCCTCGGCTCCCTTAGCCGCCTCCTCCCAGCCGTGTCCGCTCATCCTCCCGATGATGCCCGTCCTGCTCCTGGAAGGTTCCCATTTTCAGAAGTTATTTGACTCCAATGTCCTCCGTCTCCAGTGTTTCCCCAAGACCTGGGCTGTGCCTCCCAGTCTGTGGGGCTGACCGCCTTAGATTTCTTTCTAGGTGCAGCGGTTCTCAACCTTCCTAATGCCGCGCGACCCTTAATGCAGTTTCTCACGGTGTGGTCACCCCCAACCATAAAATTATTTTCGTTGCTACTTCATAACTGTAATGTTGCTACTGATATGAATCGTCATGTAAGTATCTGACATGCAGGCTGTATTTTCATTGTTACAGATTGAACATAATTAAAGCATAGTCATTAATCACAAAAACAATATGTAATTATATATGTGTTTTCCGATGGTCTTAGGCGACCCTATGAAAGGGTCATTCGATCCCCAAAGGGGTTGTGACCCACAGGTTGAGAACCTCCGTCTAGGAGGCCGTGGGAAAGGCAGTGCATGAAAGCCGCACGGTGGGGGCCCGTCTCCCCCTCCCTCTGACCTGCGTTTCCAGTTCCTCTCTCCTCTCACTTCCCTCGCACTTTAATTTTCTCCCCACTGACCTCTCCAAAGCCTCTACGGGCTGGTCCCCCGAGTCCCGGCCCCCAGGGGTTTAGCGCTCTGCCCCTGGCGCGTTATCTCCGAGGCTCACCTGGGCCCGTTTCAGAGGGAGCGCTCGCTGTCTCCATCCCGCGCTCGGCCCCTGCCTCACCCGCAGACGCTTCCCAAAGTCTAGGCCTCAGTTACAACGTCAGGCCCTCAGCAAAGACGCCTCTTCCTGATCCCGCCTGAGAGTGTGCTGCCTTCCCTGGCTCCGCGCTCTGCGCCTCAGCGCCTTCCCTCGCGGCCGGAGACCTGGGTGTCAGGGCAGCCAGGCCCTCCTACCTCCACGCTGCTGCCCGCCCACCCGTGACCTCACTGTTCATCCCCCCTTCTCCCCAGGCCTTCCACTCACCACCCACCCATCCAGCTGCCGCACCTGGATCCACGCCCGTGGCCACGCCCCCAGATTCCCCAGACCTCCAGCCCAAGGCCAGAGGGACTTCTCTCCACGGTCCAGTACAGAAGCAGTTTCTGTACATCTGAATGCAATCTCTTATTGATCATATATAGCAATAATGTGTTCCATACAGCACATACATAAGTTATCTATTTTATTTTATTGAGAAAGAGAGAGGGAGAGAAAGAGAGAGAGACATTGATGTGAAAGAAAACCGTTATTGGTTGCCTCCTGCACGCCCCCTACTGGGGATCGAGCCTGCACCCCAGGCATGTGCCCTGCCGCGGGAATCGAACCAGCGACCTTTGGGTGACAGGACGATGCTCAACTAACCGAACCGCTCAGCCGGGTGTAACTTACGTATTCTTATACCCGGTGGGCAGTCATTTTAGTCTCATAACGATGTATTTCGATACTCACAGACTCTTCATTTCCTTGAGTCGAATCCAGTTTAACTCACTCTCTTTCATAGTTAATGGGTCTCTGTACTTAGATTCTGCCCTATCGCATACTTGTGGGGAATGATCATAATGGTTTTGTGTTCAGATTTAAAAGTGTTGCCTCCCCCATGTTAGAACAACATCACGTTAGGTTATTGTAGTAGGAGGTTTATTTTCCCTCCACATTCATCCCCACTCCACCCGGGTTGACTTTTGCACAAGGTGTGAGGAGGGTCAAGGCGCTGTTTTGTCCACAGGGAAGCTGATTGTCCATTTGTGGGACAGCCAGTCTCCATTGCAGGGCAGTGTGGCCTTCGTCACAAGTAATTCACTCACTTCGGCCTGTTTCTGAGCTTAATTTTGTCCATCTGTTTGTCCATCTGCTCGTCCATCTGTTCGTCCATCCATCTGTCCATCTATTTGTCCATCCAGCACAGGACCTGTCTCTATTGGTTCCTTACTTGCCTTATTAGAAGTCTGGAGATTCCGTAGTATCACCCCCACCTTCGTTCTTCTGCGTTAGATTGCCATGGCGGTCCGTGGCTCTGCATTTCCATGTGCATTTTACAAACACGTGTCACTTCCTGCCACGGAAATCGCTAGGATTCCTACTGGAATCGCAGTCGATCAATAGACGAGTTGAAGGAAAGCTGACATTGCGGAGGGAGCTGAATTCCAGCCCCCGGCCCGGTGTGTGGTCTGGTTACGGAGATCTGAGGCAGCTTGCCTCAGTCTGTGCGCCGTGTCCTGTGCGTGGGCCTTGCCCATCTCAGGAGGACTCCCCGCTCTGACCTGCTTTCTGATGATGATGTCAGTCGTCGTTTCATTTCCTCTTCTGTGTGCGACTCCCTGAAAGTGACATTCCCCAGGGCAGAGGGGTCTCTCCATGCCGAGTATGAAAAGCAACTTGAAGGCAATACAAACCCACAGCAAAGGGACCATGAATGATTTCATTATTGGTGGACACACCAAAGGGCCCTGTGCATCGTCTGGGGGTAAGCGTGTGCACACGTGGGTGGAAATTGGGGAAATATCAACAGGACGGTCCATCTGAATTTCAGAGCACAGGTGACTGGAAGGACACAAGACCATGTGGGGGAGGGCATGTGAGAGTGTCTGTAAGATTTTATTCTTTAAAAAGATCTGGATCGAAGGGGGCTGACTGTTACCACCGGGGCAGGAGAGGGGTACACACATGCCTGCTGTAGTCTGATCTTTTCTGTGGAATAAAAATATATTTCATGTTGAACATTTAAAAATGAACTATGTTTCTGACTCCATGCAGGTGAGAGATATTTTTAAGCTTATAATACACACAAAATAGGTAATGTAGATGTGTGTGCAGTCTTTCCTGTGTCATCTGTTCCGATGTTTTTATCTCCCTTACAATTCTGTGCGTTGAGCAGTAAATAAAACGCTGTAAATCGACCGCTGCACCCGCCCCACTCTGATCCGTCTGAGTTGCGTAAATAGGCCCGGATTTCTGCCGCCGCCTCTGACAGCAAGCCCCCTCCCAGGGACGCGGGAGTCGCTCTGGAAAATATCTGTAAATCCAATGAAAGTGCCGTAAACTTCGTAAAGGAAGGAGTTGGTATTGCACATCTCTGCCTGTGCGCTCCGCGAATTCTAAATGTGATAAAGGAGTTGATGGGGCCCACTCCTGCCTTCGTGTTGCTGTTGCAAATAATGCATTTTCTGAAAATGCAATTTATGGGAACAAATACGACATCAGACCCCATCACGGAGGTTCGGGTAGACAATCTCCTGGTGTCAGCATCCCTTCCTGCGGGCGTGGGTGCTGCCCCCTCCTGGGGATGACGAGAACAACACCGACACCACATGGAAAACCCGCGGAATCAGTTTCCCACAAAGCTCTGTCCCGTGTCTGTCGTGTCTTCATGCCTGAGAAGCCCAGAGAGCTTTGTGTGAGAGCCGAGAGCTGGCAGCCGGTCCACGTGACTCCGTGGTTGAGCGTCGACCTATGAACCAGGAGGCGATCCCCGGTCAGGGCACTTGCCCAGGCTGTGGGCTCGATCCTCAGTGTGGGGTGTGCAGGAGGCAGCCGGCCCATGATTATCTCTCCTCATTGATGTCTCTCTCTCTCCCTCTCCCTTCCTCTCTGAGATCAATAAAAATGTATATATTTTTAAAAAGAGCTGACAGCCTCAGAAGGGGTGGTTTCATCCTGAGAAAGTGGCCCAGGATGTGGCTCAGGGCTCTGCACACCCCTGGCAGGTGGCGTGGGCCCTGCCAGGGGGATCCCGCTCCGCACGGGTGTCCCTGCGGCCCCGTCCCTGGGGCACACCTGCCAGGTGTCAGCAGGCAGGTCGGGGTGGGATGGGAGCGTGTGCAGCAGCTGGTGTGCACCTCTGGGGCCTCCATGCACCCCGGGACGGGAGGTGTCCCCCGAGTGACAGGCCTGTGCTGTCTCCGCAGCCTCCACTTCATCCTGTTCGACACGGAGAAGAGCCACGACGTCCTGCGGGTGTGGGACGGGCCCGCGGACGGCGCCCTCCCGCTGAAGGAGTGGGGCGGCTCTGCGCTGCCCGGTGACATCCACAGCACCTTCAACGCGCTCACCCTGCAGTTCGACAGCGACTTCTTCATCAGCAAGTCTGGCTTCTCCCTGCAGTTCTCAAGTGAGTGCCCGCTGCCGGTCCCCGGCCGCCTCGGGGACCAGTGCTGTGTTCCGGCCTCCCCAAGGGAGGGCATGTTCCGTGAGCACAATGTGGGGGTTGAAAGAGCGTGTCAAAGAGAATGCTTATCCTAGGAAATGCTGCTTTATTAGAATAGCTGTATCTATATCTACATCTATAATATCTATATCTATACCTATAATGTCTATACCTATATCTATAGTGTCTATACCTATATCTATGTGTACATCTGTATCTGTATCTGTATCTATATCTATAATATCCATTTCTATATCTATGTCTATATCTATAATATCTATATCTATACCTACATCTATAACATCTATATATATCTATATCTACATCTATAATATCTATACCTATATCTATGTCTACATCTGTATCTGTATCTATATCTATAATATCCATTTCTATATCTATGTCTATATCTATAATATCTATATCTACACCTATAATGTCTATACCTATATCTATATCTACATCTATAATATCTATATCCATATCTACATCTGTATCTATATCTATAATACCTATTTCTATATATCTACATCTATAACTATAATATCTATATCTACATTTATATCTATATTTATAATAGCTATATCTGCATCTATAATATCTATATCTATATACCTATATCTACATCTATAATATATATCTATATCTACATCTATAATTATATCTATATCTACATCTATAATACATCTATCTATATATCTATAACAGCCATATCTGTATGTATGTGTATATATATATATATATCTACAGCTATAATATATCTATGTCTATGTCTATATCTACATCTATAATATCTATACATATCTATATCTATATCTATGCTATATCTCTCTATATCTATGTTATCTATCTATGTCTACATCTATCTACACATACATAACTTTATGCAGTGATGAAGGTCACACCGTGTGTGATGGAGACCGACCGGCTTCTCAACCAACGGACAATGAGCTTTACTGTGAACAGAGCAATCCCTTGCCTCTACCGCACACACACACAGAAGCCACTCGGGTGGAGCGGAGATGCGGCTCCATGAGGCTCTGTGTGTGTGGACCTTTAACGGCTGACATCCGCCTGGTCACCTGACACTGAGCCAGGTGTGGGTCTCCCTGGACCCCAGGATGACCCTGGCGCTCCCCACGCCTGGCTCCAGGGAGCTCCCAGGTGGCTGTGGGTGATTCCCGGAGCCGCCAGCCGCCAGCTGACCTGCTCCCCCCCCACCACCTCCCGCATGGCGAGTCCGGTCCTCGCCTCCCTGGGCTGAGGGCCACGTGTTAGTGTGCGAGCCCCTCCCAGGGTCCTCGGGCCTCCACCAGGCCTGCGGCTGCCAGCTCCCGGAGACCCGTCCACCGTCATGGCCCGGCGGTCAGTAATGGACGTTTCCCGGGGGCGGCGGGGAGGAGAGGGCCGTTGTGGTTCCCCCTTTGAGTGCCTTTAGGGGGCCCCATGTGGAGGCGCCATTTAGTTCAGTGGCATCGAAAAGCAAGTGGAACTCACAGGTAAACACAGTCCGCCTCCATTTACCTCCCGGCAGGTCCTGGTGAGCCAGAGGAGGACTTACAGAGAGTGAGCTTCCGGCAATGCGGAGCTTAAAGAGGTTGCTCTAGAACTGAGGTCACGGGCTGCGCAGTCCTCCCCTCGGGGCCCGCTGGGCCTGGGCGACGTCGGCATGGGAGCTGGCAGGGCAGTGCCTGCGGGAGGGGGGCGTTCACTGCGAAATACCACGGAGGCTTGCTCTTCGGGGAAAATGTCCGTTATGCTAAGGTGATGTCAGATTTGCTCTTTTTTGTGAAATAAAAGTGTCCTTTTCTTTAGAAGCGATGGTGAGAGTGGACCTTAGGCGTGTGATCTGCGGGCTGTATGGGCTCAACCGAGAAGCTGGTAAAGTGAGGAGAGGGTTCCTCCGCTCTTGGGCCATTCCTGCCAGTAAACGGGCTCCTTAGAGCAGGTTAGGCTTTGCAGGAACACTGAGGGGATGGGGGAGCGTTCCCACCTCCCCGCTCCCACCCCCCACCCCATACCCCCCAGCACAGCTCTCCGACTAGGCTCCCCACCAGGGGCATTTGTCACAACCAATGACCGGCATTGACACGGAGGGTCACCCAGAGCCGCAGGGGACACCAGAGCTCACTCGTTTTTAAAAATATATATTTGCATTGATTTCAGGGAGGAAGGGAGAGGGAGAGACAGAAACATCCATGATGAGAGAGAATCATGGATCGGCTGCCTCCTGCACGCCCCACACGGGGGACTGAGCCCACAGCGCCGGGCATGTGCCCTGGCCGGGAATCGAACCCTGACCTCCTGGTTCATGGGTTGGTGCTCAAGCACTGAGCCACGCCGGCCGGGCAGGGTTCACTCTTGTGCTGTGCACCCTGTGGGTGTGGGCAGATATGTGATGGCGTGTGACCACATCACAGCGTCACAGGGCAGTGTCACTGCCCCGCGCCCTCTGGCTCCACCTTCACCCCTCCCGTCAGCATCGGAAACCCCTGATGTGTTCCCTGGGCCCACAGTTTTGCCTTTTCCAGGGCGGCACAGTGGGAGTCACAGTGTGGCCTTTCACACTCACTTCCGTCCTTAGTCGCCCGCATCGGGCTCCTGCAGGCCGAGTCCTGCCTCCACAGCGCCCTTCTTTCCGCCGAATAGCGTGCCGTGGTTGCCCGGGCAGGCGAGTGGATAGACAGCTGGGCAGACGGCCGGAGCTCCCTCCCCCATGCAGCTGCTGAGGGACAGGCACGGGCGGATCCAGCTGCTTCCCAGGTTTGCCAGTGCAGTAAAGCTGTAGCCGACGCCTGTGTGTAGCTTCTGCATGGACGGCGTTAGCCCCTGTGCGTGGAGGCCGGAGCTGGGACTGGCGGCTTGTGTGCTGAGAGCTCGCTTAGCTTTGTTCCTGGCCTTTAAAATGTCCCTTTTTTAAATTCGTCTGGAGCCTAGCAGCCACTTCCCCCCCGTATTCCATGATGATTCTCTCTTTTTAAAGGATATCCTCCTAGTTTTGGGTTAAAAAGCAGCCCCTCATTGCAGTTAACTGAAAACAGAATTACTGCTCCTCCCACAGGTGATGGGTATGCCGATGCTTGAAAGTGGTGAGTACGCACACACCTATTAGATGTGAGAGAAAATTACAAGTTAATGTTTAACTCATCTTTTTTCAAGTGTTCTAGACTGAACCGTGGGGCTTGCCATTTTTGTGGAGCGACATGGTAGATGCTGGCAGTGGCTGTGGTTGCCGTAGACGTTGCCGAGTATCCTCTCCCCCTGCGTCCCCAGTAAAGAAACCCCTGGGACTGGGATGTTCTTGGGAAGCATGACTTCGGGGGGGTACTATCATGGGGGCTCGGTGTCTCTGATGGATGCCTCAGTGACGGAAACACGCTGGCATTTTCAGAAATCAGCGGGGAAATGAGTCTGAATTGGGGGAACTTCGTAAAATTCAGAGCCACTGTCTTTGTTTGGAGTCCCGGCTTGAGAGCACGCACCCCGACAGGATTCTCTGCATTTTCTGAGCTTTTTCAGCCCCGAGGCCTTGATGCCCCAGCAGGGAGCCCGCTTCCGGCCATGCCCCGCCCACAAACAGCCCGTGGCCCGGCATAAGGCGGTTTCCTGCCGTAACCCAGGGAGCAGCTTTTCAGATAAATGTTTCCAAACAATAACTGCCCAGAGCGCACTGTTCACCCGGGAACTAATGACTCAGTCCGTAAGTTTGTTAATGTTTCAAGAAAAGCCAAGGCGGACTCTATGCATTTCCTGGGCCATGGCCGTAGTTCTTCATTTCCGTGTTAGTGGCATGAGAAAAGATCACCACTTGCTATGTAATTAAATCTAGAGGCCCTGGCCGGGCGGCTCAGCCGGTAGAGCGTCATCTGATTGCCAAGGTTTCAGGTTCAGTCCCCGGTGAGGGCACACGTAAGAATCGCCCGAAGAATGCATAGTTAAGTGGGGCAGCCAGTGGATGCTTCTCTCTCTGGCTCTCTCCTTCCTCTCTCTAAAATCAGTGGAAACAAAAATGGAGCCCAAATGGTGTGACTCAGTGCTTGACGGTCGACCTATGAACCAGGAGGTCACGGTTCTATTCCCCGTCAGGACACACGCCCAGATTACGGGCTCGATCTCCAGTGTGGGGCGTGCAGGAGGCAGCCGACCAATGATTCTCTCTCCTCATTGATGTTTCTATCTCTCTCTCCCTCTCCCTTCCTCTCCAAAATCAATAAAAAATATATTTACAAAAAAGAAAAATGAAAAATTAAATATATGTTTTATAGGTTCCCCTTGTCAACAGTGGGTTAATATGATGGGAGAGAGTGTGTCCCTGCAGGTTCTCATCCCACAGGGTCTGTGTGTCTGGCCCCGCGACACTCAGAGTCATGTCCATTGCTCGTATATTAAGGGTGTGGGCAGCTCGAACTGGCCCAGATGATCCCAGATTCAGGTGGACGAGGACCCGGATGGCAGTAGGCCCCCGGGGCCTGTGGGAAGTGTCACTGTGACCTGCAGAGCCCAGAACCCCTGGGCTCAGTGTCCATCCGCTCGGCCCCACCTCCTTCCTCAGGCAGCCGCGGGCAGGGCCAATGCGGCTGAAATCCCATTTACTAGTTCATGGCAGAAAGTGGAGAGACCCGGAGTCACAGATTCCCCTTCGGAGGAAACACATTTGAGGGAAAACGAGTGACAGGTGCGCTGTGCCCCTGAAAGCGCACAATCAGCACAGCCGTAAAGAACAGATGAGCGCCCAGGGCGCCCGGCTCTGCGTGGCCCTGGAGGTGCAAAAGCAATTTCTGACGCAGAGAGATGCCTTCGGTCGGTCGGGGCCTGGTGTGTGCTGCTAAGCAAGCTTTCCTGCCGCCACCGGGGCGTCCGCCCGCAGGTCCCAACCAGGGGGGCGCACACCATTCATCCCAAAGGCCCGGCCAGGGACAGCCCGCGGCCTGGCTTCAAAGTGCGCTTCCCCCCAAGCCTTCTTACTGCTTTGTGAGTCTAATCCAGACACCGAGGCAGCTTTTCCTGGTTATGTCCTCGTCCTGAAAGGAGGGCGTCAGACGGTGGGGTCCATTTCCACGGGACCCGGACCGAGCCTCCGTGGCTGACTCCCTGGTCATTTCCAATGCACCTTGGGGCTGGGCCGGCAGGCCGGGCGCCCCCTCTGAGCGCACGCGGGGCCCTGCACCGGCTCACACGCTCACGTCGGGCGTCAGCAGGGTCCGCAGAGGCAGCGCTTCTGTCCGTCGCCGCATGAACTCCGTGGGGGTGTGACGTTTCCCTGGAGCGCTCCATTATTCTCACACACATTCTGAAGGGAAGTGCGGATTAGAAGTAGGGAAGGTGCTTTCCTCCGAGAGGAACTAGACCCCCCACCATGCAAGGACGCATGACCGACAGAACGGGCCCACATTCCACGCACTGGTGGCCTGCGGATCTTTATGGAGAATGTGGAGGTTTGTTGGGAAGCATGTGCTGTTATTATAAAACTAGGATACGCTGGATTAAACTATGTTTTAAATGTGTTTCTGTTGATTTTTATAAGAGAGGAAGGGAAAGGGAGAGAGAGAAACATCAGTGATGAGAGAGAATCATGGATCAGCTGCCTCGTGCATGCCCCCTAGTGGTGATCCAGCTTGCAATCCATCCGGGCATGTGCCCTGACCGGGAATCAAAACCATGACCTCCTGGTCATAGGTCAATGCTCAACCACTGAGCCACGCTGGCCAGGCTCCAAGCATGTACTTTTAAACTCCTTGCTCACTACTAAACAAAAGAAACACACTCTTGACGCGGTTGAATGCTGCGGTCTCTGCCAAGGATGAAGAAGAAAAACTATATTTCTGGGAGATGTAGACACTTCCATTAGATCCAGTATTAAATCTGGGTTTGGCATCCTGGACTTTTAGCATGAGTGATGCCAATATTAATTGTTCCTATCAGTGACCAGAGTATACCTTTCCATTTTTTGTGTCTTTTTTCATATTTTTTAAACATGTTTTTATTGACTTTAGAGAGGAAGGGAAAGGGAGAGAGAGAAACATCAGTGATGAGAGAGAATCATGGATCAGCTGCCTCGTGCATGCCCCCTAGTGGTGATCCAGCTTGCAATCCATCCGGGCATGTGCCCTGACCGGGAATCAAAACCATGACCTCCTGGTTCATAGGTCGATGTTTGACCACTGAGCCACACTGGCTGGCCTAGATTAAATTATTTTTAAAAGGGTTTCATGACTGGGGCTTCTCAGAGCCTTTGACCCTAATGAGGACTCTGGCCTATACAGTGTTTGCCAATCCTGTTTGACCAGATTCCCCTCAACAACCCTCATAACTACACTATATAGGACATCTGTTTCCCAACGTTGATATGTCTGTGGGAATTTTCACTCGTGTCCATGACTAGGTACAGAAGCTGGGATGGTTGCCGGCCGTCCCAGGCCTCCCGTTTCCGGGAGGGGGCAGGGTTCGAGTTCAGTATGAAGCCTGGGTCCAGTGTCCTCCTGGATGGGACTCGCGCAGGGTTGGTGACACGCATGTGTCCTGATTGTAGGAGCACGGATCACACGTGTGTGCCAGAGCCCCACGGGGTCCGATGCCCGCTGATCCCCAAACGCCCTCCCCTCTTGTTGGGAGGCACTGGCCGCCACCCACCCGACTTCAAAGTCCTGATACTCCTGTTGCCATGAGGGCGCCACTTCCAGGGCCTTTGCTGAAGTCGGGTGATGGGGGATCCGCGGCCCCTTGGACCTGTGCTGCGGGTGGCAGTGCGATAGGGGAATCCTGTGAGGGCAGAGCACCCAGGGGACCCACGCCTCCTGGGGAGACTGAGCTGCAGCCTCGGTGTGGCCTCCGTCACGGCGCCCACGGAGATTCAGGGGCACCTCAGCCGGCACCTGGGAGGGCACAGCCTCGGGGGCTGCCCTGTCTCCTGTTGCTCAAGGCTCCAGGGGACTGCACTGTAATGAAGGCTGATCATTGCGCTGCCTGTTTTCCTTAAATCCTGTTCACAACGGAGCTCGGGGAGTGTGTGTGTGCTACAGCTTTACTCAGAGGGGAGTGTGTGTGCGTGTGTGTGTATGCGTGTGTGAGTGTGTGTGTGAGTGTGTGTGTGTGAGTGTGAGTGTGTGTGTGTGTGCGTGAGTGTGTGTGTGCTACAGCTTTACTCGGAGGGGAGTGTGGGTGTGTGTGTGTGTGTGTGTGTGTGCGTGTGTGAGTGTGTGTGTGTGCGTGTGTGTGTGAGTGTGTGAGTGTGAGTGTGTGTGTGTGAGTGTGTGTGTGCTACAGCTTTACTCAGAGGGGAGTGTGTGTGCGTGTGTGTGTATGCGTGTGTGAGTGTGTATGCGTGTGTGAGTGTGTGTGTGAGTGTGTGTGTGTGAGTGTGAGTGTGTGTGTGTGTGCGTGAGTGTGTGTGTGCTACAGCTTTACTCGGAGGGGAGTGTGGGTGTGTGTGTGTGTGTGTGTGTGTGCGTGTGTGAGTGTGTGTGTGTGCGTGTGTGTGTGAGTGTGTGAGTGTGAGTGTGTGTGTGTGAGTGTGTGTGTGCTACAGCTTTACTCAGAGGGGAGTGTGTGTGCGTGTGTGTGTATGCGTGTGTGAGTGTGTATGCGTGTGTGAGTGTGTGTGTGAGTGTGTGTGTGTGAGTGTGAGTGTGTGTGTGTGTGCGTGAGTGTGTGTGTGCTACAGCTTTACTCGGAGGGGAGTGTGAGTGTGTGTGTGTTACAGCCTTAGCAGCTATGATTCTTGGTCTCTTCCATAATCACTTGCATTTGCCACAAGATTTTGCAGGAATCCCTTCAAAGTAAGTGTAATCCAGGCGCTATTAGTGCATATGACAGACTCTTTTTAAAAATCTTGATTGTTGGAAGTATTACCTGTGTCCCCTTTTCCCCCATTGACCCCTCTAGTCCCACCCCCGCCCCAGGCCTTCAGCACCCACTGCCTGTGCCCATGGGCCGTGCATGTGCACCCAGGTCTTTGGTTGATGACCTCCCTCTCCCCCCTGCCCCTGCCTTCCCTCTGAGATTCTCACTCTTCCATCTCTTCTGCGTTCCTGCGTGGACAGAAGGCCCCCGGTGCCAGCCCAGGGGCCCTAGAGGCCTACATATGTACTCGCCCCCCTTCCAGTCACGTGACCTGCTGTTATCTCCTCTTCCAGCCTCGGTAGCGTCCACCTGCAATGACCCAGGGATGCCTCAGAACGGCACCCGCTACGGGGACAGCAGGGAGCCGGGTGACACCGTCACCTTCCAGTGCGACCCCGGCTACCAGCTGCAGGGACCCGCCAGGACCACCTGCGTGCAGCTCAACAACCGCTTCTTCTGGCAGCCGGACCCGCCCACCTGCACAGGTACCGGCAGGGGCAGGCACACACCTGGGAGGGATGAGCGGCCTCGGTCCACTCCCCGGGCAATGGATTGTCTCTTCAGAAACATTTCTTTTCTTTAAATGAGGAAGAAAGAGGGAGCGAGAGACAGAAACATCGATGAGGAGAGAGAAACAATGATCGGCTGCCTCTTGCACACCCCCTGCTGGGGATGGAGCCCACCACCCGGGCCTGTGCCCTGACCGGGAGTCGAACCGTGACCTCCTGGTTCCTAGGTCGACGCTCAGCCCCTGAGCCACACCGTCAGGGCCAGAACCATTCCGTAAGGGCCCCTCTCCGTCCGCGGGGGCTCTGGGCCCATGCTGACATTTCATTGCAAACCTTTAAGCTCCATTTTATTAGGTGAGATCCAGGGAGTAGTCTACTTAATATACGGCAATTGACATTTATCTAACAGTTCCTATCCTGAACTCATCTTGTAAAAATAAGAATTAATCAAATTACTATAATTTAAAATTCTGGGTGGCTGAAATTTCATAACCCTCCTATTGCTCTTCTCATTTTTTAATATAGAAACTTGCCCACGAGCAAAACCAACTAGATAGAAAGTACTTTCTCTTTTGAGATGGTTTTTCTATCGTCTTGCTACATTTTAATCGAGTTCTGAAAACTAGAAATCATACTGCTTTTGTCCAAATGAAGATGCCAGGAGAAAGTTGTCTCTGAAATGCGCTGGAATGTTAGAGTTTGGCCTTATTAACATGGAAATGGGGTTTGCAGACTTTAATTTGAATAATAATCCAAGATGTTCTTTCGCAAAAATGGCTTTCAGGTAATGCGTGTTTTTATGGAAAACAGCAATGCCATGTAGACTGTCCCTCCATTCAATTAAACATTTCACCACGAATAACTATTTAGATGAATTCAACTTAATTTTAAGAAGAAATGCTACTGAACTTTATTATCCTAGTGAACGGTCACAGTGCAATTTGAACTTCTTTATAATCGGCTTCCAGTACGTACAATTTAATCCGTGGAGAGACCACGATCATGAAATGAGGGGCACCGGCTGTCATGTCTTCAGGAGCACCACAGATTTCTCCTCTTCCTTTTTCTTCTCTATTTTTTTTTTTTTGCACTGGAAGATGCATGGGTTTTTTAAAAACATGTTTGTATTGATCTCAGAGAAGAAGGGAGAAGGGGAAAGAGATAGAAACATCAATGTTGAGAGAAAATCATGGGTCGGATTCCTCCTGCATACCCCACACTGGGGATGGAGCCCCCAACCCGGGCCTGTGCCCTGACTGGGAATCTATCCATGACCTCCTGGTTCATAGGTCAATGCTCAACCAGTGAGCCACACTGGCCAAGCTCTACTTGTTTGTTTTTAAAAGTGGAGTAATTAGCCCTAACTGGTTTGGCTCAGTGGATAGAGCATCAGCCTGCGGACTGAAAGGTCCCAGGTTCGATTCCGGTCAAGGGCATGTACCTTGGTTGCGGGCACATCCCCAGTAGGGAGTGTGCAGGAGGCGGCTGATCGATGTTTCTCTCTCATTGATGTTTCTTTCTCTCTATCCCTCTCCCTTTCTCTCTGTAAAAAAAAAATCAATAAAATATATATTTAAAAAAATAAAAGTGGAGTAGTTACCTATAAATGCACCAACCATTTTAAACCACTGTCCTGCTTTTCAGTGAAGAAAGGCACCTTTTAATCCTGTTTTCAGGATTTCTGCTCCCGGGGAGGGACATCCGAAGCCAGGCCACTAGCAGTTAACCTCCGAGCCCCCTGCGCAGCTGACATTCACTCAGACACCTCACTGTAACATCTGACCCTCTTCTCACTGAGCTGTGGCCTTCGGCTGGCTCCTGTCCGAGTTCCCTAGTTCTGGTCCGTGACTCCGTCATCGTCCTCAGCAAAGACACCAGGCAGCACCTCACCCGTCTGGAGTGTCAGCTGCAGGGACACGCCCCCGCCACTGCAGCAGCTGCAGGCCCGGTGGCAGCGGCCTCCCAGGAGAGGGGCAGGCGGGCCGCCCTCTGGTTAGTTGAGTGACAGCCACGCTCAAACCGCAGCGAGTACGTCCGCGGTCCGCAGTGTGGAAAGCCCTCCTCGGCCGGAGGGTCGCGGCATCCCCTCGGCTCAGTCACGGACGTGCTGACCTCCTGGCTGTGGCCTTTCTGCGGCGAGGGAGTGACAAATTTCCCAAAATTGACTTGGAAAAAAATTGCATGCATTAACCTCAGCTGGTTGTGAATTTCTGCTGTGTCAGTCTCTAAATCAAAAGATGTGAATGCCTACTCTGTTTCCTTAATAAAATACTGCTTATGAATCAATTAGTGAGCTCCTTTCCAAACAGGAAAAAAAGCTTTAAAATAGTGTAGAAAATGTTCTAACAGTATGTTTGTCATGTATACTCCTCTAACTGAGGGTTGACGTCTTCAGAGGGCCAGGAAATGACAAGAGCAATGGACATCTTCAGGTCCCATGACCTGGGGAAGACATTTGTCCTCTCTGAACTTATTTCTTAATCTTTAAGCATGGGAATAAATAGACAACATTTGTCATCGCCTTGATCTTCAAAAGGTACCTCTCCCGCTGAACACCTCTTTTAATTTTTATTTTGTTTGATTTCGATTTATTTATGTATTTTGTTACTCCTCATCAGAAGATTTTTTCCATTAATTTTTAGAGAGAGTAGAAGAAAGAGAGAGGCAGAGAGAGAGTTACATCGATGTGAGAGAGACACCTCAGTCGGCCACTCCTGCTCACCCCCCACTGGGGATGGAACCCACAACCCGGGCCTGTGCCCGGACAGGGACTTGAACCCTGACCTCCTGGCCCAGGGGTTGACGCTCAGCCACGGAGCCACATGGCCGGGCAGAGCCAGCTCTCGAAACCTCATTTCAGTCCGAGGTCCCGGTGCGGGAGGGACCGTCTGTCCCTGAGCCCCGTGCCCTGCCGCCTCTCTCAGGGGTGCTGTGTGCACGTGACAGCCCCGTGAATACGGATGCATCCGTGGCCACCGATGCCTGTTACCGTTCTTCCTGTCTCGACATTTTGGTTCTGTCTCACTTCTGGATTGTTCTGATTTTTAAAAGTCCCACGAAAGGCAGAGCCCCTGGTGCTGGGAGACTGGCCTGGGCGGGGGAGCGCACGTGGAGGCCCCGACGGGCTTCTGTCTCTTTAGCTTCAACATGGAGCCCAGCTACGACTTCCTGCACGTGTACGAGGGCGAGGACTCCAACAGCCCGCTCATCGGCAGCTTCCAGGGCTCGCAGGCGCCCGAGCGCATCGAGAGCAGCGGCAACAGCCTCTTCCTGGCCTTCCGCAGCGACGCCTCCGTGGGCCTGTCCGGCTTCGCCATCGAGTTCAAAGGTACCACGTCCAGCATCCAGCGTCCAGGCCCCTCCGGTCACTCCTGCGGGAAGAGGGCCGGGCCGGCGGGCGCGTGCAGGAGGCAACCAATCCCTGTGTCTCCCACAGCGATGTTCCTCCCTGTCTTTCCCTCTCTCTTCCACTCTCCCTAAAAATCAATGGAAAAAGAAACTCGAGTAAGGATTAACAACAAAAAACAAACAAACATAAAAACTCCAAACAAACAAAAAACAAATATTCCAGGTAGATTATAATTTAAAAGAGAGAAAGGCAAAACATTCAAATTATACAAGAAAATATAAGACAATTTGACTGTTTTTAGATTTCACATGTGATATTATACAGCATTTGTCTTTGTCTTTCTGAATGATTTCACTTAGAAAAAATAAATACTTTTTTAAAAAAAAATATATGACCTCAGAGTAAGGAAGGTATGTTAAAGAAGAAACAAAGACTACGCAATGTACAAACATTTTTTATAAATTTAATCATAATTACTTTAATTTTTCCCTAAACAGAGATAACATAAACAAAGTGAAAAAAAAAAAACATGTTATAATCTGAAAGAAGACATTTACTGAGCTTGCATAAAAAACAGAAAATGAATTATTCGTGGTAAGAACCTCTCCAATAATTATAAACTAACAATAAAATGACAAACAACATAA